TTGAAAGCTGTACTTCGCACTGCTTAAACAATTTCTGTAAAGAAAAAAGAGTATAAAATGGAAACCTTTAATAGTATTGAAACATACTTTTCTTGGTGGCAGTCCATCCAATTTTGGAATTTGCGTCCTTATTATACTTTTTAAGCCAATCCAGAACGGGCTGATAGTATTCCAACAGCGCCAGGCTACTAAGTCCATTATTATTGGGCAGTATTTTACCAAGAACCTCTTTCCAGGGTTTGGTAGAACCTAAGGACATCATGGATCTGGGAAAAAAGAAGCTGTCGTTGTATTTAAGTCTTAACGGAATCTTAAAAACTCACTTTAAATCGTTGCCCACCGCCAGACTGCCGTAGAAATCGCAGTTGTGCAGCGGTCCCCTGCTGTAACTTTTCTTGCAAAACTCCCGATAGATCTGATATCCCAGAATCTCGGAAATGAATTTCCTAAAATATAAAATTGGAAATTAAATACTTTCGTTTTGGCTGCAAAGTAAATGATACTTACTGAGTCTGGAAGCTCTGGTCAATGTTCACGTAGAATTTGTAGGGAAAATCTATGGCTCCTTCCGACCGATCCGAGGGTGGTTCAATTCCGGCATGTTGCTCCATCAGTCGCCAGTAGTGTTTATTCACAGTGTCCATGTCCACTGTATCGTTAAGAAGGTCATGCATCACCTTGGTATGCACATAGTACAGTGGAATGCTAAGAATCGTGTGGATTGCCTGAAATTAAAGACAATTTAAAATGTGATTGTATTCCATAGCTCCTTTAAATATTAGCAATATAACAAATAGTTCATTAATTTAATAATTGTTTTAAAATGATTAGGGGATTCTCTTTAATTAGACGTACAGCCATAGGAGTGACTGTTTTGTATAGTTGGCGACCTATACTACCCAACCACAAACGGTTTGGAAAAATAAATTAAGTTTTGTTGCAAAAACAGATTTTTAAAAATCGATTTTTTAAAAAAATTAATTTTTGAACCAATTTTTGCATTTTTGATAAAATTAGACGTACAGCCATAGGAGTGACTGTTTTGTATAGTTGGCGACCTATACTACCCAACACAATCGGTTTAGAAAAATAAATTAAGTTTTGTTGCAAAAACAGATTTTTAAAAATCGATTTTTTGACGAAATTAATTTTATGACCAACTTTTGTATTTTTAATAAGGGTGGGGGTCATAAATTTTCCAAAATTTTGAAAATCTGAAAAATTTTTAACTGCGAATGCCATTTGATAGGCAATTTAATGGCGAATTCAGCGATGTATGCCATTCCAACATTTGACTATTACTTATCAGCGTTTTGATAGAAAAACTGATTTTTTAGGGTTTTTTTTAGGTTTTTGGAGACTTGTCAAAAAACAAAATCCGAAAGAGTCTTTTCGTTGTAACTTGGACAAACTTAGACGTACAGCCATAGGAGTGACTGTTTCGTATAGTTGGCGACCTATACTACCCAACCACAATCGGTTTAGAAAATAAATTAAGTTTTGTTGCAAAAACAGATTTTTAAAAATCGATTTTTTGAAGAAATTCATTTGATGACCAATTTTTGCATTTTTTATAAGGGTGGGGGTCATCAATTTTTTCAAAATTTTGAAAATCTGAAAAATTTTTAACTGCGAATGCCACTTGATAGGCAATTTAATGACGAATTCAGCGATGTATGACATTCCAACATTTGAATATTACTTATCAGCGTTTTGATAGAAAAACTGATTTTATAGGGGTTTTTTTAGGTTTTTGGAGATATGTCAAAAAACAAAATCCGAAAGAGTCTTTTCGTTGTAACTTGGACAAAATAAGACGTACAGCCAAGGGAGTGACTGTTTTGTATAGTTGGCGACCTATACTACCCAACCACAATAGGTTTAGAAAAACAAATTAAGTTTTGTTGCAAAAACAGATTTTTAAAAATCGATTTTTTGAAGAAATTAATTTTATGACCAATTTTTGCATTTTAGATGATGGTGGGGGTCATCAATTTTTTCAAAAATTTGAAAATCTGAAAACAACATTTGACTATTACTTCTCAGCGTTTTGATAGAAAAACTGATTTTATAGGGGTTTTTTTAGGTTTTTGGAGATATGTCAAAAAACAAAATCCGAAAGAGTCCCATTTACAATCGGTTTAGAAAAATGTTTAACTGCGATGGCTGTTTGATTGGCAATTTAATGACGAATTCTGCGATGTACAGGGTTGCCCATATTCGACGGACCCATCTGACGACGCCATAACTTTTGACAGAGATGCCAGATCGCTTAATGACATACCGCGTTTGAAGCGTCAGTCCAAGCAGATTTTTACCATGGAACAATACACGCCACGCGAGAGTCATCGAAATGGCCGAAGATGACGATCAATTTTGGAACAAAATTATCATGTTCGATGAAGCCCATTTCACATTGAATGGGACCGTAAATAAGCAAAAAAAAGCCACCGAGTTCGCCCGATTTGACGCCGCCTGACTTCTTCTTGTGGGGATATTTGAAGTCAAAGGTTTACGTTAACAAGCCAAGGACCCTAGAAGAGCTCAAGGACAACATTCGTGAAGAAATAGCCGCTATTCCGGCCGAAATGTTGGCGAAAACGATGGAGAATGCTGCAAAAAGGGCACAATACGCCATCAACGCCAGAGGCGGCCATTTGAAAGATATCATATTCAAAAATTGATGTAAACAAATCCACTTGGAACAAATTAACTGATTAAGATTGCCAACCGCCAAATTTTTATTTTTTTCTTTGATTTTTAAAAAAAAAACATGGGTCCGTCGAATATGGGCAACCCTGTATGACATTTCATGTTTTGACTATTGTTTCTCAGTCAAATTTGGCTAATGCATTTAAAAGCCTCTTGAAATTCTTCGTTCTGCTAAATTCCGGATTTAAATTAGACTTGAGTTTTCGGAAACAAAAAGGGCACTCACCATTCGGAAGAGCCGACTCATTAGGGCCGTCTCGCTGAGCGTCGTTTTGGCCAGACGGCGTCCAGTTAGATGGGCCGGAGCCGATGCGGACAGGACCACAGCCTCGCCCACGGCGAACTCCAGGTTGTAGGCCTTGAAGTAGTACGAGGGCAGGTGGCTCTTCTGCTGCGCATAGTACACCCTGGCCATGTGGCTGTGGTACTGCATCAGCTTCCGGAAGCTGACCTTCTCGCAATACATGAGGTAAACGTGCGGGGTGAGGTCGAAGATGGAGGGCCGGCAGTCGTCGTTGGGACTGTCCTGGTTGGGCTCCTTCAGCTGGTTCTTGTGAAACTCGGCGGACAGCGACTCGAAGCCCAGCGAAGTGTAGAAGTTCTCCGATTCGTTGACCATGGCCTTGGCACTCAGGTGCTTGACGAACTCATCGAACTCCGGCAACTGGTCACGCGGGTAGTACTGCTCCAGGATGCTGCCACCTGCCCAGACCTGCTCCAGAACCTGCTGCAGCAGGTGATCCGGTATGGGTCCATTGGGACTCACCACCTCGCCGCCGTACTTCCGGTGCAGTTCCTGGCGCACGAAGGCGTGCAGTTGCTGATAGGCGGGACGCAGCTCCACCATTGCCTGCTCCATCTGCTGCAGCATTTCCTGGCTGTCGTAGCGGTACCACAGCTTATGGACCGGCACCTCCAGGATCTTTGCCGCCCGTTGATAGGACTGCACTATGGTGTAGAAGTTGAGCGAGGCCCACAGCTGGTTCTTCTCGCGCCACGCCTCCCAGTAGTACTTGAGCTCGTCGGCATCCCGGCTGGTCTGCACGATCTTCTGGATGTCCGGGAAGTAAGCCAGCGCACTGTCGTCCTCGTTGGGCATATTGGCCCCGCCCAGGTACGGCTCGATGTCCTTGTCCGTGGACAGCGTCTGCAGGGCGGCCAGGTTCATCTGAACGGACGAGAAGTAGTCGTCGCCCAACACGAACAAATCGCCCGCGGTGCGCAGCTCCTGCAGAGCAAGCTTCGTCTCCGGATCGCCAATCCTGTCCAGATTAAATCCGGCCGCCTGGCGCGAGATGCTCACCAGCTCCTCGGCAATGCGCTTCACATTGTTCAGCTTGGAGAACAGTGCTTCGAAGTCCTCCTCGTTGTTCGCCGAATATGTTTCGCCGGCGATCTCGTTGTACAACTTGTAGTAGCGACCACTCGATTGATTCACAAACGTCTTGGCCTCGAGGTCAAAGTTGGCATCCGCATATGCGCACTTAAATAGGAATTAAGACATTGAATTATAATTGTTCATAGCAATACTCAGTGCTCATTGCGATCGTTATCAAAGACTGAGCTTTTGATAAAACAATACAAAGTTAAAATAATACAATTTCATTAGCAAAAGTATTTTTAAAAATTGATTATAAATAAATTCTTTGCTTGTTATCTTTATCTTCACTTTTTCCCTTTTTTTAAGTCTTTAACCCTTTTTCCTCGAATAGTTTGTAAAACATCCCTTTATTGTTAGGAAGTAATAGATTTATAATTAACATTTTGAATGTTTAATAACTAAACAATAACCCATCATTATTTATTTGAAAATTGTTATTCGTTACTTCTGTTATTCTTCTGTTTATTATTTTCACTTTTCGTATGGGTAGTTGTCAGCTCCAAAGCTATATAAGCGTTGAAAAAAACAATGAAATTAATATGTAATGCAAAAACTTGTTTCATTGAAAATCACTTCAACTTTTTTCAGCTACGCAATAAGATGCGTTGGAATGTATTTTAAAATCAATGTTTTCTGAGAGATCTTAGCACGGAATCAAAGATTATTTAATCGCAACCATGCTTACGGCAATGCCCACTATCAGTAGTAGGAGCAGCGGCAGGCTCATCTCCTCTGGAATCGGTTTCACTTTCGCACTCATCAACGGATCTGCTCGAACTGAGCCGCCTTTCGCCGTGAAGCCAGCATTTAAAGCCGCCACCGGGGGCGATTGATAAGCGCAATCAGCGAGAGATTCCGATTCCCGCCCATGGGAGGCCAGGCCACAATAATTGAGCACACAAGTTGCTTTGTGGAATGTCTGGTTCGTGATGTCTTGTTTATTAAGCGCCTCAATAAAAATGCAATAGATTGCTAAGAGTTATATATCTAGTGGGCAAGGTCATCAAATCGGGTCAGGGCGTCGAAGTGTGGATCAGCAGGAGCGGATTCTAGTTCTGGCGCTGAACGGTGCGGTTCTCGTGGCGCACGTTCACGTCCACGATGCTCATGTTGGGTGTGAGGAAGTTGACCAGACGATCGACTCCCGTGCGGGGCAGTCTATCGAAGGGGTAGCCCATGGACTGGCGATCCGGATACAGGCGATCGCGAACGCCGCAGTAAGAGGCAGCATCGCTGCAGCGGCCCACCAACTGCTGGTCAACCTACATGACAAAGGGAAAGGCTTAGCTCAGGATGGCATCATTAGATTGCACACTTACCCTGTCGTTCTCGTAGTTGGACACCATAATGAAGAGCACGCAGGGCAGACCCTCGGGCAGGCCCTTCGGCACCAGCATGTGGTTGGGCCAGCCGCAGCCGCAGAAGTTGAACTCCAGCTCCTCCGGCGAGCCGGCAGTCGGGCGATTGGCATCCAGGTTGCGGAACGTGCGTTCGAACGGAATGGTCACACTCGACTCCGTGGAACGACGGCGTATGGTGTTGGGTCCGGGGTTCAGCGAAGCCACAAACTTGTCCAGCTCGACCATCATGCCGCGCTGGTCCCGCATCAGCATGGGCTGGCCACGCTCGTCGTTCTTGGGCGCCATGAAGATGCGCACGTAGCCGAAGCGCTGGGCTCCGCTGTCGTTGTTCACACTGATGGTGTAGGTGAAGGGCAAGTGCTGCAGATGGGTGAACCGGGCGAAGACGTTGCCGCGGGGCAGGAAGTCGAAGCCGCGCGACATGTCCACGTCCGACTGCTGCCAGAAGGTGGTCAGCGTGTTGGGCTGCCCCCCATTGGTGTCCACCTGGATGCCCGTGATCGAGACGCCCGAGTAGTTCAGCTGGGTGTCCGTGTACGCAGGCAGGCGCGACTTGTGCTCCTGGAAGATGCGGTCGATGTACGAGTGCCACTTGTAGAAGACCGGGTCCCTCATCGCCGTGGACACATCGCCCATCACGCCGAAGGACTCCAGGTGCTTGCTGGTCGGGTCGTGGGCGTACGAGATGAAGGTGTGTCCGTTGTTGTGCAGGTCACCATACTGGGGGGTGAAAGCGTTAAGTATATCTAATCCAAATAAAGAACCAAGCGGTATTACCAGCACACGATTGGGCGAAAGAATGGAGGCCTCAATCATGTTGCCCAGGGTATCAATTCCCGTAGCCTCGTCCAAGGCAACGCGGTTGCCACGCTCCTGGAAACAAGAGCAAATCATTTGAGACCACCCCTAGGCGAAGCCAAGCCACTACTCACGTCCAGGACAAAGCCCTGATGGATGGCCTCATAGATGCGATCGCGCCAGCGCTCCAGATCGCCGATTTCCACATTCAGCTGGTCCGCCTCCCGGTTGAGATCGCTCAGCTTGGTGCCCTCGAAGCGGGGCGGCCAGGCGCGACTGGCCACCAGGGAGTCCATCTTGGGGAAGTAGCCCTCGGCAATGGGGTCGCGCAGGTTGTTGAAGGGCAGCACTCGGGCCAGGTTGTTGCTGAACCGCTCCAGGTTGTAGCGGGCAATCACCTGCTGGTGCATATAGTAGAAGAGCTCGCCGCGACGATCCTTGTTAACGATGCTGCGATCGGCAGCCTCGAAGGGGTAAACCAAATGCCAGTGCCAGTGGTGGAGGTTGATGCCCAGGTCCTCGCGGAAGTACCACAGCCGGTGCTCGGGGTCCAGGTCGGAGGCGGTGTAGTCCCTGGGAATGGTAATGGGCATCCGCGAGCCCGGCTGCACCACAAAGGACTCCTCCCGCATCTGGCGAATCACCTGCGAGTCGATGAAGCGGTCCGGGAAGGTCTGCGAGAAGGAGGGCAGGTCCAGGCCCTGGGTGTCCGGACGATGGAGCAGGGCCACCGATAGGGCGTAGTTGAAGAGCACCGGGTTGAGGCGGTCCCTGGCGTACACGGCCACACTCTGCAGGTCGTCCACAGAGCGCATGTTCATGAAGATGTCGATCAGACGGCCGGCGATCCGGCGGTGCTTGGGCAGGAACAGCGAGAACTGCTCGTCACGGCCCAGCGACATGGGGATCCGCAGGTCGGGAATGGAGATGTCCCGCACCGGGATGCGCTGCTCCACCTTGTCGCCCACGCGGCTCTGCACCTCGTTGCTGATCGGGCGGTAGCGGTCGGTCAGGAAGGAGTCGGGCACATCGAACACGGTCACCCTCTTGCCCTTGTCCATGAACACGGGCTCGGTGGGATGGTCGAAGAGCAGCAGGAGATTCTTCTTGTCGGCCATTTCAAAGGTGGTTGGTAGGTAGTTTGCTGGATCTCTCGAAGGAAACTTACTGAGTGAATGTCACTTCACAACTGTGACTATCCACTGGGAATAGCTGGGCTTTTATACGCAATTTTGGGGCACCCTCTTTATCACCAGAACCGCAGAAGGCATGGGAACTCTCGCTGATAAGGTGGCCATGTGGCAGGGCATGAAAACCGCATTGTTTGTTCTAAAATGCATTTTTATTTTCTCAAGAATATTTTAGTTTTTCGCTTTAGCTTATCTATACATATCTACTATTGGAATGAAATCGGTTTCGGTTATCTCTGGGGTATGCCTGCGTTGTAAATCAAAACTTCTGCGCCTACATCCCATCTACACAATTAACTATATGTTTATATATGTGGCTACACGGCAATAATAATCATAATTACAATTCGGCTATAATCGATCAACACTTCCCCAATACCCTACTATGTTACTTCATTGTTATACATTTTTGATATAGCATAGCGCTAAAAAGAGATACAACGAGATATTTGGCGAATGAGAACATGAGAAATATCATACGACAAGCGGATCTATTTGGCGTGTATATACAAGAAGTCTGTAGAAATTGTTTGCTGCCCTTCCCGTCTTCGTTGTGTATAGGCGATAGTTTCAGTTGGTTAGTTGGTTAGATCTTGTAAAAAGTATCTTAGAAAAGCCCTGGGCATGTCCCGTGTTCCTTGGCCATGATATGTAGTGTTTAAGCTCTTAGAGTTAGAGTTAGAGTTGATAAGTTGGGGTCTTCAGCTTGGTTCCGATCTCTCAGCCCGAAGAGAAAGTAAGAAGTGATAGCTGTAGGTGTGGGTGTAAAGACTTTAATCACATCCAAAAATGCATTCACATGTATTTACATAATATCGTGCAGTATACAAAAAACCAAGAGTTGTACAAAAATATATCTATGTACGTGTATATATAAGATATATATTCGATCGTGTGTGGTGTATATACGCAATTCAAAATAGAATTCAGTGCCGTTAACAACTCAAAGCTGTTGTCCAAATCGATGTGTTTTATGGAAAGAGTTTGATTTTAGTTTGGTTTGAAGCGCAGTTATCTACTCCTTGTATACATATACATATAAAACGTTGGAATATGATTCGGTAACGTTAGGGCATAGATATACATACATACATATATAGTTACAAATAGTTGTCGGTATAATACTTGTTCGATTTTGATTTGCATTTGCTTCTCAACTTGGGGAGTCGGTTGTCGTTAAGGATTGCATGTGTATATTGGTGCCCAAATAGTTTCAGACTACGCTAAAGCTACGGATAACATCTAGTTCTAGTTTTGGTTTAGTTTGCCTTCGATTCGTTTCCTTTCTTGTCAATTCATTTAAACGGCTTACATACCTCGAGGAACTTTCGCTACATTCAACAATATCGACATCAACAACGGGGATCCAACGAAATGTACACAACATGAATAATAACTATCCGGTGCAAATATGCATGGGTTGCTCGATCGCAGAGAACGCCTGGCCTTTGTACTGAGGTTCGCCCGTATCACACTTCCAATACACTAGCCAATGCAGCACTGTGCCTACTACTCCTACTTACGCAGATACTTTGAACGTCTGGGACTCAGGTACAAGTTTCTTTCGATGCGACTCGGTGCAGCTGTGAGTGTGTGATTGCGTGTGAGTTAACCAGTTAACCGAAGGTGAAAGCAAAATGTTTCAAACCCAAAACAAACAAATACGATCCCAGCCCACATCCCAAGTCGAGGGTTGACTTCCGTTCCGAACCGTTGGCCCTTAGTTGGCGGCGGTGGAGTTCTGGAACTCCTGCCGGCAGTAGCCCATCACAATGTCCGAGCGGCAGTCGCCGCCCATGAGTCCCGGCAGGAGCACCGCCGCCCCCAGGATGGTCACCACGGCTCCGAACACCACCAGGCCCAAGGCGGGCAGCTTCTCGCGGCTGAGCAGGGCGTGCGGCTCCATCTGGATGTAGGCCAGTCCGGGCAGGATGTAGGCCAAGGGGATGGCCGCCAGGAGACCCTGAAATGGATGGTTGGGTTGTAGGTCGTAGGTGGTATGCTGTAGGTTGACTGGGTGTGTGGGTGTGTGGCTGAGTGGGCCAGGGAATAAATTTGCATGGCAAGTACAAGACGGGCCACAATTTGTGGATGCCGTTCGGGATCGGCAATGTGGCCAATACCCGTGACCAGAATACAAGGGGCAAACGACTCACTGATGATAATAAACTTGGCCACATGGCTATCCCCATTGGACTGGGCCATGAAGCACTGCATATTCTTTGTTGGTTAGACCTAACATTTCTTACTGAATTGCCTTGGCTTGAATAAAAATATAAACCGAAAAGTCATAAATAACATTTTAATCGGGTTAGCAGAACTCTTGCTTTTTGCGGTTAAGCAACAAAGTTTGTGGCTGAATAATACCACAACGCAAATTAGTAAAACTTGAGTCTTAACTTGGAGATAAAAAGCAAACAGAAGCTAAGTACTCATTGTTTTTTTTTTATATATTATAATATTGCTCTGGAAGAGTTAAAGGCTCTAAATATACATTTTTAAGTTACATTTTTGTTGTATTACTTTTTGGTATATATGCAACCAGAGAAAAACGGCATAGTAAAATTAAACATTAAAACATTAAACAATTTCAAAATATAAACTTACTTAAAATAAACTAAAAAATGGTTATGTAATTGTTAACATGTTCAATTGGTTTATTCAATAGGAAATTGTAGATTTCAATTTTTTTTAATTTTAAATCTTAGATTTTTCATACTAAAAAATACAAATTTAAACGAAATTAGTACCAAAAATATTTAATTTAAAGTGAAAATATTTAGGTTTAGGATCAGGATTGGCGCCTACTTGTTCTGGTTAAGGATGGCAAGCCCACTTTTTTGGACCGGACGTGGCCAGAAGGCACTGATTAAGGACATGGAAATATCCTACTCACATTCAGCTCCAGCACCGAACCGAGGCAGTCGGTCATGGGCGAGATGACGAAGGCGCTGAACACGATGGCCATGGTAATGGCTTTCGAGTACTCATCGATTATGGCCCCCTTCTCCAGGCTAGGGTCCTTGTCCTGGGTGAACTCGCTGATGGGCTCCTTCAGCACGAACCGGTGGACGAGGGCGCGCACAATCTGTGGGGAATAGCCCAAACACACGTGAGTTGCACAAACTTTCTCAAGTCAGGCGGGCCAACCTCGCGGGAAACGAAACACTCGATGGGGAAGGTCAGCAGTATCGATATGGAGAAGAGCACGCGCGAGAAGTTCATCAGGTCGTCATCCCAGCAGTAGTTCTCCAGCAAATCGCCTGCAAATCGGGATTGGTGGCCGTAAATAGTGAATGCCAAAAAAAACAGGAGACAGGAAACATTCGCAAATTGCCTGTCAGTGCAATTAAATGCAATTTGTGTCAATCGCTCACCTTGGGATAGGGCGCGGAAGGTGGAGTAGCCAGCGATGCCGAACAGGGCCGCCACCGTCCAGGCGAATCCGATCGAAATGTGGGTGACCTTCTCCCAGCGCTCCATGGTCGCGTCGCGCATCGATTGATAAACGAGGAAGGTGTTGTGATGGCACATGAAAGCTGGACAGACAGATGGCCAATCGATAGATAGATGGATAGAGGGAGGGCAATCGCAACTCACCGAAAACCATGATGCCTGTGGCTGGGATAAGATCCGAGTTGGCAAACCGCCAGGACTCTGCCGTGTCCGTTCTGAAAGCAGAATCAAGCAGAGGAAAAGGTGCGAAAAAAGGTTTTTCCGGGAAACGTTACACAAAAGTTAACACCAAATTAACATTTCGTTGGCTTGCCCTCGGTCAGCCAAGGGAAATGTGAATTATTCGCATAAAAAATGAGTAAAAACAAAAGGTGCGGACTGGAAGATAAGAAGAGTGAAAGCCAGGCAGCCGCAAATTGGAAATTTATTTAAATTATATACCCAGTCGCAGACGCAGCATTCAAGGTTTGCCGCCCGAAAACCTACCCTTTTTGGAAAGGGGAACTTCTGCCACCCCCCTGGTGACCTTGAAAATGCTGAAGGGGGAAAGTGTTGCGTCCTACGCTTTTGCAGTGCATACATATATATGCGTATGTATGCATATAACTTAGTTGCCACTGCAACAGACTCAACTCGACTCGCCTAATGAAAAGCCATAAAAGGCAAACAAGTGGCACAGTAAATTTTATGAGCTCAGCGCTCCCCAGCAGATTGTGCACCACCAGCGGGAGTAGCAGCACCACCGCCCCCGGCCAGTTGCCACAGATTTGAAAGCACTAAAGCGCCACTTAGCACTAAGGCCCAGAACCACCCCCCAACACCGCCCAAACCACCAACACCAGCGAACCCACTGACCACTCTCACACCCACACACCCACAGTCCTATTCCCAAGCTTAGGTCCAACTGGTTGCAACTTTGGCCGCAGCTTGGGAAACTCGAGGAGGGTACACAATTTGCAATTAAAATGCAAATAAATCTTTACGCGTTTTCCCCGCAACATTTATGTTTTTGCTTTTGCTAATTTTTATAAATTGCTTTCGTGGCTATGAACTTTCTAAACACCTTCCTGTTATAATGATTTTGCCAACATTAAATTTTCAAGGTCTATGAACTAAAATCAACACCAAAATAAAATACGTTCTTTCCTTAAAATTGTCTACATAATCGAATTTATCAAAATATTTTTAAAGCTCTCAGTTCGTAAGAAATATGCACATAAATCTTTATTTTATTGGTAATTTTTCTAAATTGCCGTTTGAGCCAATAAGCTATTTTTATAAATTGCATTCGTGGCTTTGAATTTCTTAAACAACTTAGAGTTAAAATGATTTCGAAAAAATTGGAAGTTGAATATCAAAGCCTCTAAAATCGTAAGTAAGTTATGGGCAATAAAAGAAATTTATCAAAATAAATAATTTTTGATTTTGATCATAAATTAATTTCAAATAAATCTTCATTTCTCCGCCAATCTTATTAATTGCTTTTGAGTCAATAGGTAATTTTTATAAATTGCTTTCATGGCTAAGCACTTATTATTTAAACTGGCAACAAAATGTT